AAAATAATGTGCTGTAATACAGCAATGAACTAAGGAGCTGCAAAGCAGTGGAAGGTGGTCAATGGTGTCATATTCTTCATTTCAGAGAAATCAAAGGGAATGAGAGCTGAGAGAACCTTGGAAATTTGTAGCTGATGTTCAAGACCGCAGCTCCGCTGGAATGCTGAATGAACAGGTGGGAGGGAGGAGGAGCCCCATGTGCTAAGCATTCCTCTTGTCAATTTGATCAGAGAAAGGAAGGAATGAGAACAACTGGCGAGAGTAGCTAAATCCAGAAAGAGTCCCTGGGGTCTTACGTTTGGAAAGGGAAGAATCTGAAGACTCAAGAGGGAATGCCTGATAATGGATGGGATGACAGGAAAGAAACAGAATCAATAACACATGTGGGTTTTACACTAACAACTACTGAGGGCTGAAATAAAAAAAACACTGACGAAACCAAATGTTCGGGTGTGAAGCAAGGGGATTGCTCACCATTGTTGGGCTGAAATGTGGTACAATTACTCTAAAGAACTGTTTGGCAATCATTATTTTGATTTTTTTTTCACCATAAACTAGTTTAGCCTGTTTTAGAACTTCATTTTCAGGTGATCCTTTACTATGTGCTTTTTTGCTATTTGGATAATTTTCTTAGCATAAGTTTTTGAGGCTTATCCAGGTTGTTACATGTTACATTTTTTAATGCTCGGTAGTATCCCATTGCATATACATGAAGTACTTTGTAATTTTTCATGCATGGATACTTGGTTTGTTTACAGGTTTGAGTTATTATGAATATCCATGTGGTGAATATTCACATCCCAGTCTTTTATGTTCATTTTTTTGTGGTAAATATCTTGGAGTAGAATTGTGGATAATTGTATCTATAATGAGATTGGGACTACAGGTAAGTAATGCTCTTGACAAAAAGCTGAGTTTTAATTTTAAGATTTATTGTAACACCCATGTAATTCCTATAGCCAATCATATGAATGGAAGGTACTTTAGGCAATAATATGATTTTTGGAAGGGAAGTTTGATATGATTTTTTAAGAGAAGTTATTTTCATATTGTGCTTCAAACAGCACAACTATTTAATTCAAGCCCAGAATTTAAATATTCTATTAAACTCTTTTGAGCCATCAGGGACTTTTACTCTTTTCATCCATAAAAAGGTTATGCTAATCTTGTCTACTTTCTTTTACATGTTCAATTCCAAGCAAGGCCAACAATAATTAATATAAATTAAGAATTCTGGCATGGAAAACTGCTCCTTATCAATTTGTCACACTGTAAATGTGCAGCACAGACTCATAATAGATTAACTTCAAAGTCCAGTAAAATGGTCTTGAAAGGGGCCAATTATATTTGGTTAACACTCAGTACATTCAGTGAAGTCTACTACTAGGAACAGGTCAAAAGCTCCATCATATAATTCTAAGAATGCAAATAAAATTTGTCCTAGTGCCATAAGATTTCTGAGATGCTGTAAAAGAATCACATCTTATTTAGGACTTCTGGCCTAGAAAAGACTCAGGTTTTTCTCAAAGTCAAGGTCATTAATTAAGGTCTGGCTGTCCAATATAGTAGCCACTAGCTACATCTGGCTGTTGATTCCTTGAAATATAAGTAGCCTGAGATGTCCTGTAAAATATACACTGGACTTCAAATATTAATGATACAAAGGAAAGTATATTCTCATTAATATTTTTAAATGTTCAATTTAAAAAATAATTTTTAAGATTAATTACGTGTTGAAATGGTAATAGCTTAGATACATTGGGGTTTGATAAAATATATTATTAAATTAATTTCGCCTGGTTAGGTTTTGAAATATTGCCAGTTGAAAATTTTAAATTATAGATTCTGACTCATTTTTGTTTGGCAGTGCTGCGGTAGGCTATATCCCAATTTTGAGGTGAACCACAAGGGGCCAGTCGAGTGTGGTGATGAGGGTCAAGGATACTGAGTCAGACAGATCTAGGTTCTATTTCCAGGTCTTCTCTTCCCAGGTCTTTCCCTGCTAAGGAACAAATCTAAACTGTTCAGATCTGAAGAGATAACTTGGGTTCTTAGGATGATCATTAAGTTCTATATTACAAAAAGGGTACAATTTTAAAAGTTACCTGCATAATGAGAAATAAATAGTAAAATGAGTCAATCAAACCCAATTTATAATTTTCTTATCCTCTTTTTGCCTTTGACCATGGCTACGTAGCAGAAAAATAATAAGGAAGGCAAAAGTAAAACTTAAAGTTACCTAAATGTGGATTAACTCAGCTGTTTTCTGAGCCACCTCTCTCTGCTATGGAGGGATATAGTGTAAACAGCCTTTATTGTTTGCTTAAGAAAAACTGGAAGGGTCTTCCTCACAAGAGGCAATCGTATACCATTGAACAGCTAAATACTAAGTAACTTTGGATAGCAAGAGTTATCTGAGCAGCATGAGTAATGGGAAATGAACAGGACAAAGTCCAAGGGCAGGGATTCAATCCTGGGTCTGCCACAGCCTAGTCCAACGTCAGAAGAGATTGCCAAACCTTGGTTTTCTCATCTGTAAAATGGGGATGAGGATAAGAATACCTCTCACAATAGGTTGTTTGCAAGATTAAATTAAATAATGAATATAAAAACACACACCTGTAAACTGGAAAGTATATAAATGCTAGCTATCATGATGATTTTATTCTACTGGAAACTAAGAATAATATACACATATATAGCCACCTTGCTCTCTGGTATAATGTGAAAGAGCAGAAGGTAAACAAGGTTGGCTTTGTACAGAAACTTAACCCCTCGGGACCTTCCTTCCACATCTACTTTGATCACTGAGAGGGCCCCTTAAAAAGCACTTAGAAAACTACAGTCCTATACAAATGTAAAACATGGTTGTTTGTTTGGATAATCACCAAGAGTTGATTTTACTGAAAGAGAAACAATCCTATGTTAGGCATCCCTCTCACTGTGAAAAGCAATCATTACCCATGCTCCAAAAAATATGTCCTTGTACTTTGCACTCACATACACTAATTCTAAATAATAGTCAGTGGCACTCTTATGGGAATTGAAAATGGAAGGGTAGAGTGTGTATCTCTTGTTCAGGTCCTGACAGGATAAAATTTAAAAGAATCTCTGCCTTCTTTTTGAAGTATAGGCACATTCAGCACAATATGATAATCATAGATCACTCCTCACAGGGACTGTCCTTTCATAGACAGGCTTTTAAAGCTGTCTTTTTGGGAAAAACACTCATCTGTGTGATTTCTGAACTCAGTATTATATAATCCAAAAGACACTGACAGGGTTGTATCCACAATGAAGTTATTTGGGCCCTAAGTAAAGACATATACAGATGTAACAAGGACATTAAAAATGAGTCCTTAGAACTTCACATAAATAGGAAAAGAGCTAATAAAAATAGTAAAGTAAAACACACTATCAACCTGTAACTTGTTATCTACAACAATTAGAACTCATTTCTCCCAAAAACATTGTTTTTAAAGGGAGGTTATTAGTACTAATATCTATCTGTATATATAACATTCAAGGAGTAAACAGGAAAGTGAAGAATGTGAATCATAAAAGTTACTGAGGCAATGCAAACAATCCTGTTAGGGAGAGGATAAAGGAAGAAAACACACCATTAGCCTCTCTAGAAGTGTAGAGGCATGGGAGCCAATTAAGAAAGGGTATAGATGGTCAGCATCCTAACAAGTACAGATAAACACAGCACTATAGTCTGATTCCAACCATTTTTGCCTTTTAATTTCCATTTCAACCTTTTTTTTTTTGTTTTGTTTTGTTTTTGTTTTTGTTTAGTTTAGAAGTAAAATTCCAGAGCCACCACCATTTTCACAATCATTGCCAGTACCATCGCCAACATGCTTAGCCTTCCTATTAATAACAATACACGAGGCAGAAGTACCCGTTGGTGTGCTTCTCTGGTGATACTAGTTGCACTATTAACCTTTCCTAGGGCAGTGAGGGAAAAGCCAACGCCAGTGATCATGCCTGGGAAGCCTTCCTAGGAGCAAGGGCTGCTCTAATCATTAATTCCAGGTATCCCTCCCTCACTGTGCTTCTTACCTGGAGTACAAAGTGAGCACGAGTTGTAGTTACGCCATTTAGTTACACCTTTAAGACAGACTGCTTTCCCTAGACCAGCACTTTGCCAAAAGCATGTTCATTAAATATGTGGGAAATGCCTTACCAAAAAAAAAAAAAAAAAAAAAGTGACTTAGAAAATGCTGTATTCCATATTCCCTGTTTGAAGATTCACAGGGCATTTAGCATATTAGACATTTTTGCAATAAAGGAATTATCTTTTTTTTATTAAAGAACATTTATTCTTTCTCTCTCTCTCTCTCTCTCTCTCTCTCTCTCTCTCTCTCTCTCTCTCTCTCTTGTTAATCCTCACCCAAGGATATTTTTCCCATTGAGCCTTAGAGAGAGTGGAAGTCAGGGGGAGAGAGAGAAACATTGATTTGAGAGAAACACATCTATTGATTGCCTCCGGCTTGCACCCTGTGACCTAAGGCCAGGAACTGAGCCTGAAACTAAGGTATGTGCCCTTGACCAGAACTTAACCAGGACCCTTCAGTCCTTAGACTGACACTCTTTCCATTGAGCCAAACCAGTTAGGGCAAAAAGGAACTATCTTTTTTTTTTTTTTTTTCTTTTCTTTTTTTTTCTTTTTCTTTTTTTTTAAGGAACTATATTTAACTCAACTCAGTATTTCCTAAATTCATTTGATCATATAATCCCTTCCTAATCTCACCTCTCTAGAGACAATTTATGAGCAGCTCCCAGAACTAATACTTCCAGAAAGACACTCTGGAAAATACTCTTTTTGACTGATAAGGGATAGAATTAATTCAGATGAGTATTGCATCTTTCCAAAACTTCAAATCTCTAATTATGTCACTCTTGGAAGAGAAGACAACAGCATAGCCAAGTATTGCAAAGAAAAGGATTTCGGGAAATTACAAGGCCACCTGGTCAAAGGTACACATTCTACTTACTTGAGGAGATTCCCAAGATTGAACAGAGCCCGGTTGTGCTGTGGATTTAGCTGGAGAGCCCTCTGATAGTACATCTTTGCCTCTGCTGTGTTCCTTGTTAGTGTTCCAAGGTTGTTCAGGGCACTTGCATGGCGTGGGTACAGTCTGAAAAATTTAAAATATTAAGCCATGAGTGTTGAAAAACATCTAAATTGGACAGTTTACTTGTTTTACTTTCCACCTACCCCACATATGCCACAAACAAAAAGAAACACTGAATTCTTCCTTTATTTTAATGGTATGCGTATGGCAAATCTTTTGTAATGCAATTCTGTTGAGATATATCATAATTGACATAAAGCACTGTATAAGTTTAAGGTATAAAGTGTAGGAATTTGACTAATATATATTGTGAAATGACTGCCACAATAAGTTTAGCTGACACCCATTATCTATATATAATATATAAAAGGCTAATATGCGAAGTGTCCCTTTGGGAATTCAACCAGGAACCCACAAGTTCAATTGCTCACTAGGATGTGTGCTGACCACCAGGGGGCGGTGCAGAGCAAAGGAGTGCCTGAGCCAGCAGCTGGCAGCTAGGGAAGGGAGGCAAATCAATGCTGATTGCCAGCCAGGTCTAGGGACCTTATTCCTGCACAGATTTCGTGTTCTAGGCCTCTAGTCTCATATAAATACACACACACACACACACACACACACACACACACACACGCACACGCACACACACACAAAGTGTTTTCATCCTTATGAAGAGAACTCTTAGGATATACTCACTTAACAACTTTCATATGCACCAAACAGCAGTGTTATTAGCTATAGTCATGTTGTATATTATATCCCTGGGTCTCTTTCATCTTATAACTGGAAGCTTGTACCTTTTCATCACCTTCATCCAATTCCCAAGCTCTGGTAATTAACCACGGATTTTGTTTCCTATGGTTTTGTTCTGTTTTATCTTAGTTTTTAAATTTATTTCAGATTTCACATACAGTACAGTAACACCCTCATTTAACATTGTCAATCAGTTCTGCAACTTTATAATGAAATCTATTTTACCACAGGACAATTGCTATAAACAAGAGTTAAGTTCCGAAGGTATTCATTAGCATTATCACTAAACCTCATTGAATGAAATTATGTTATGCAAGATCTACTATTTTTGTCTTTCTCTGATTTACTTCACTTAGCATAGTGCTATGTTGTCACAAGTGGCAACGTTTTCTCCTTTTTATGGCTGACTAATATTCCACTGTGTGTAAATACAAACCACAACTTCCTTACACCCTTCTGTTTCCACGTCTTGGTTTTGGTAAATAATGCTGCTATGAATATGAGGTTGCAGATGACTCTTGGATATAGTGTTCTCATTTCCTTCAGATATATTCCAATAACTGGAATTGATGGATAATGTGGTAATTCTAATTTTGATTTTTTGAGGAACCTCCATTCTATTTTACATAATGGCTGCACTAATTTTTTCTTTCTTAATGGTCCTTTTCTCTACATTCTTACCAACACTTGTTATTTCTTTATTGTTGTTTTTTAATATTAGCCAGTCTAGGCTTCTGGTCAAAGTGGAGGCATAGGTACATATGGTACTCACATCCTCCCACATCCACATAAAAATTATAACAAATCTTCAGTGATGAAATGCAAGGACCTTCAGTCTCTTTCCAGCAAAGTTATTTAGAATCAAAGGACATATAAAGAGCTTCCTATACAAAAAAAAAAAAAAAAAAAAAAAAAGCTAAGAAAGTTCATCACCAAGCCAGTATCACAAGAAATATTAAAGGATTTTCATAAAAAAATAAAAATGTGAACAATAAAATGGCAGTAAATACATATCTATCAATAATTGAATTTAAAAATACAAAATAAATGAAAAAATAGAGCAGAAACAGACTCATAGATACAGGGAACATTGTCACAGTTGCCAGATAGGGACTTGAGGGAATGGGTGAAAAAGGTGAAGGGATTAAGAAGTATAAAGTGTAGTTACAGAATAGTCATAGGGATATAAAATATGGCATAGAAAATAGTCAATAACATTGTAATGACATGTATGGTGTCAGATGAGTATGAGATTTATCAGGATAATCAGTAAGTTATCTAATGTATCTGATTGTACACCTGAAACTAATATATATAATATTATATGTCAAATTTAATTGAAAAATAAAAAATGATTTAAAAATATTAGCCATTCTAACTGATGGGAGGCTATACCTCATTGTAGTTTTGATTTTCCTTGATGATTAATAATGTTGAGCATCTTTTCATGTACCTGTTGTCCATCTGTTTGTCTTCTTTGGAAATGTTTATTCAGAGTCTCTGCCCAATTGGGTTTTTTGTTTGTTCTTGAATTATATGAGAGCTTCATAGTTTTTGGTTAGTAAATCCTTATCAGATACATGACTTGTAAATATTTTCTCCCATTCTGAAGATTGCTTTTACATTTTACTGATGGTGTCCTTTGCTGTGTAGAAGCTTTTTAATTTTGTCGTCCCACTTGTTTATTTTTACTAGCATTGCGTTTGCTTTTCTGTCAAATCCAAAAAATCACTGCCAAGAATGATGTCAAAATAAAAATAAACTTTATCCCCAAATAACCATCCATCTTGACTCTCTTTATCCACGTTATCTGATCTCCCCCTCTTTCTGTAATGTGCTCCCACCTGGCCTGTTATGGATCTCAGAATAAAAATCCTGACAAACACTAAAAAAATTAACTAATGCACAATAATGTGAAAATAACATTTATCATGTTCAAAGCAAATGTAAAGAATCGGGCATGCATCAATAAGCCAAATTTGTGCTGATTAAAGAATAAAGGGAATCAATTTATTTCCTTAACATAAAACTATAAAGAAGGCAAAAGAGCACAGCTACACAACTTAGCCGTTTCTGCTACATTTAGTGGACATATTTAGCAGGTTCCATCTCTGTCACCCAGAGTACTTTGAATAAGCCTGTGGAGCTGGCTTTTAATGTAAGAAAGCCAAGGTCATGCCCAAGTAATAAAAATAGGATCTGACCTTGTAAAGTCTCTTGACAACCAAATGTCATACTAGCCCCCCTCACCCCCACCCAGACCCTGTTCTGTCCATTCTAAGAAGATTATTTGCTATTAAAAGGCCAGAAAGATAAGTTGCATCACTTTTCCCCAAAAATCTTTGCTTTGAAGGGGTTGCTATTAAAAGGCCAAAAAGACAAGTTGCTCCACTCCAACCCCCCACAAAAAAAAAAAAAAAATCGTTGCTTAACCAGCGTGTTCTGAATTTATTTGCCAATGTCTGTGGTCGGCAAATGGTGGCTTGTGAGCCACATGTGGCAATTTGGCCCCTTGAGTGTGGCTCCTCCACAAAATACCACGGCCTGGGCAAGTCTATTTTGAAGAAGTTGCATTAGAAGAGGTTTAAGTTTAAAAAATTCAGCTCTCAAAAGAAATTTCAATTGTTGTACTGTTGATATTTGGCTCTGTTGACTAATGAGTTTGACTAATGAGTTTGCCAACCACTGGTCTATGTCAATCTCCCTTCCCTACTTCCTCACTGAAAGCTATGAACTCCCTCAGAACTAGTATTTTAAGAAGACATTCTGGGTAATGCTCCTCTTGATTGACAATATAATCAATTCAAATAAATGTAACTTAATTATTCACAATGAAGTTGAAGGCTATGGGGAAAGTTGTACTATAAGAGGGAGTTGGGGACAATTAAACATCTCAGGCCAGAAAAGGGCTGTTGTTTGCTTCTCTTTGGTGACTTCTTAATTAGCAAAGACAACTCCAGGGTCCCTGCTACAGCCCCCTAACACCCAATCTCCCAGTTCTGGAGGCACGGCGAGTGTCTGGTGCTCTCTCTGCAATGCCCCTGCAGGGTACCAGAGCTATGATGAAAGGCAAAAATAAAATGCTCTTGTATCTTTCTCCCCCCCCCCCCCATTCACTCCATGCCCATAAATCTCCTGAGAAGCTTGTGTCTAGCAGTTATTTTAGAAGTGGTTATGGAGAGCACATTACAGCCAGGGCTCAAATTCTTCCAAAGAAACTTTTTTTTTTTTATGTTGAGCAAACTCTGTGATTGCCAGATGATTTAAGAGTTGTCCAGAGAACATGGTGAGAATAATTCTATTAATTCCTAGATGACAAAGTGATAATAAAAATAATAAAAAGCATTCTGGAAGCTCAGCAGGCGTGGCTCAGCGGTAAAGGTTGGGATGTCACAGTTCAGTTTCAGGTCAGGGTACAACCCAAGTTGCAGGCTTGCTCCCCAGTAGGGTGTGTGCAGGAGGCAGCTAATCAATGATATATTCTCTCTCTCTCTCTCTCTCTCTCTCTCTCTCTCTCTCTCTCTCTCTCTCTCTCTCTCTCTCTCTCTCTCTCTCTCCTTCTCCTCACCCCCCTGTATCTCTCCCTCTTCTTCTCCCTCTCACTTCCTTTCTGAAATCAATAAAAAGAATATATTTTTTAAAAAGCACCCCAGGATATCTGCCTTCTCAGAAGAGGTAATTTCATAAAACTTGATCTTTCCCTTGTTTCTTTAGGCTTTGAAGCTATCAAAATAAACAAACGCCTGAGGTGAAAGCAAACTATGGAAAAGGACAGTCCACATTCAGTAAGAGCTTCCACAATGGGCTCACTTCTGTGTCAAAGTTCTGGTCTGCACAGCTGGCCTCCAGCTGGTGCTCAGCCCTTCTTTCCTGACTTTGTATTCACTCAGGACCTCACTGCCATTTAAATGAATGGCATGCACTTTCAAAGGTCACTGACTACAAAACTGTTTTTCTCTCTCTCTCCCATTTTTTTGTCAAATCAGAAGCCAAATGTAAGTCTGTACTTAACTCTCAAAATGAGAACTAAGTAGTGAGAAGGAAAGTAAAAACCTTTAGTATGCCTTGTGCTCCAAGGTTGCAAAACCATGAGGCTTAGGAAAAGAGGCTCCATGTTAGTTAGCAGAGTCTCAACCCTTCCAAGGAAAGGACGGCTAGCACTTCTGGTGATTTACTGAAGCTGTTACCACGCACAGCCCTCCACCTAGAAAATGAATAGCTGTTGTTCATTCCCGGTAATAGTAAGGGTCTTCTAGCAATATCTCGTCTCGCTGGTTTATCTGATTAGGTTCACCTCATCGCAAAAAGTA